GGCTAGAAAGGATGAAGGTAGGCAATCGTGTAGTTGGATTACGGCTTGAAATTTGATAGGACCGACAATTTAATGGTCAAAAGCAATTTCCTATTTGTGATTACAATTAAAGAAAACCATAGTCATCCCTGCTTGATAATATTATTAATCCTGACCAACATTTCATACATATTGCAGCAACTTTGAAGCCTCGTACTAAAATTCAGTGACATTATTACAGAAATCGTTACTTTGATAAACAAAGGCAGGTTTTAAATGGTGAGAAAGAAAAGGATAGTACGAAGGCAAGAAAACTCGATCAACGAAACAACAGTAGGCGAAAAACAAAGAATATACTTGTAACTGACAATTTTCTTACCGGTCTCCTTTTGTTGGCAGTATAATTACTGCTCGGGCCATACTGGCAGCAGCTCTTTCAAATGATTTTGTTAAGCTGAGACTACAACTGTGGAACCGCTCGGGCCATACTGGCAGCAGCTCTTTCAAATGATTTTGTTAAGCTGAGACTACAACTGTGGAACCACAAACTCAATGGAATTAGATAAGACCAAGGACAATTCAGGCCAATAGAGAAATAAACTTGTAACTTTTCACTTCCTTTGGGAAAGGATATCCTCATATGAGGGAACTTCAATTACAGATCTGAACGATAACTTTTCACTTCCTTTGGGAAAGGATATCCTCATATGAGGGAACTTCAATTACAGATCTGAACGAGAGATCAGATATTTTATGTCTAATTTATGGTTAAGAAAGAAAACAACTTCATTACCCTTACCTCTTGGTAAGAACATCAATGTGGTAAAGATCTTTGGCAAGATTATCAGCTAACTTGTCCATTTGTTTCCTTGGAAGATCAGACATGAGAAGAATTCTCTGCCTCCTAAAAACACAGACCAAAAAGTAACTGTTTGTACTTTCCAACACACATAATACATGATATTGGCACAAAATCTACGACAGGAGGAGCAGCAGTTACCTAGCAGACGCAGTACCTAAGCGGACAGAAAATTCGTGGTATTTATTTAGCTGCTTCAGTATAAAAGCCAAATGACTATTGACACCACAAATGATGATGTGATCAGACTCTAGAACTTGAACTTGTGCACCTTCCCTCAGCTTTTGCATGTTATGCTGTCCAAACGAGCGCAAGTAATCAGCTTCAGCAAACATTTATCTTTTCTTATGTTTTGTTATCACCAAGCTTACCCTAAACTGTTCTGTCATTGTGCTGAGTAGACGGGAGTAAAATAATATGCCCCATATTGCAAGAATGAACCCTATAACACGTTCAACTCGTGTCCTTTGCTGTTAGATAAAATACAGAGATATTTCTAAGTCAAATGAATAGTTCTTAGATACTTCAAATGATTTTAAGAAAACAGTTGAAGTTCAAAGATCTTATGTGGCATACTTTCAAGTGAGTGGATGAGGAACATAGACATGCCCATGCTTCCCATAAGCAGTCCTCCAGAGACTGAGTGCTACCTCTGTTCAACACACTCCCAGATTGGCAAACAAGAATGTGCATCGCATGTAGGAAGGAACAATGAACTAACAGAACATAATCAATCTAACTTGATTGCAAGAATTGACTGCAAGTTCTAGTAATAAAAACGGACAGAAAAATTAAAATGTAAAACTAGACTGAGAAACAAGACAAAGAAATTGTTAGCAAAACATTTTTTTCTTTTAAATTAAATTTTAAAAAAATGATTACAAAACAGAATATTTAACCCTAGAAAATAAAAAATCCTCTGATTCCCTTTGAACAATCCACTTCTATTTGAACACAGGTAAAAAAAAACAAAAATATATTTTTTTTTTTTTTCAAGACTTACATTGGAAGGGTTAAATATGTTATAGATCGGATCTTACTATTTACAGTATAAATTCTATTTGAAGCTGAAGTTTAGTACTAGGCCAAAAAGGAAGAAAAGTAGAGTACCTGAGCTTGAAGAACAGAAAACCACCCATCAAAATAAATGAGATGCATGCCACAAGGAGCACCACTAAGAACCTTTAAATTGAACATTAAAAAAACAAAAGAAAAAATCAAATGATATTTCAATCTTAATAGAACATGAATTTCTTCTGGAAAAAAAATAATGAAAAAAAGAAAGAGTGG